TGAAGTGTGTGACCATCTCATCTAAAAGCTTAAGCTATTAGAGAGAACACCATTTTATTAGTTAACGATATTCTCAACAACACATACCTTTAGCTTGTAGATCGTACTTGTATCCTTATCATCCTCTTGTGATCCTTGTAATGACATAATTGCTTCCATAATCTTAAAGTGACATTATGTCAACAACAGAAAAATAGAAAACGAATAAACAATAAGCTCTAAGTTGAGTGAGATGTATAGAATCCATTTGGTATAACTGGTGGAAGACCTGTTTCGGAAGTACCGAACTGCCAGGTTCGTGCACTGACATGATCATCTCTACATCTTTACTTGGAAAATTTGCTTCTACCAGGGAAGCTTTCCAAAGTGGTTTATTAGATTCGTAGTTGTTCCCATAGAACTCCTGTTGAAGTAATGTTAATATTAATATATATATAAAAACCAGGCTTAAATACAACATACTCTTAATAAAAGTTGAAGCAGAATTACTAGGTAATACCTTAAAATGCTTAGCCAAAAGTTCGAGTGCAGCTGACGCTGATAATTGGACCTTTCATGTCAAAAACAAAAATATATCAGGCAAGTAAAGACCTCAAGGACATTCAAGGGAGTAACAAACTTTGAATTTATAAAGGACGGCGGGATAATTATATTGGGAACTTGGAAATTATGGTTGTTTCCCTTAATGTATTCGTAATATTGTCTGTTCATTGTTCAAGAAAATGATCTGATTTCTCTTGCACTTAGTCTACAATACGTACCTTCTCAACAGTATGTGACGACAGTTGAAGCAATTTATTGTGTAATCCATGGATGTAAAGTGTCAAATATTCAGTCATGCCAACGTGAAGGAAAATATGAAGATAGTAAAGTTAGAGCAGGGATTATATCTAATAAAGTTAAAGTTAAGGCCATTGAGAAGGTTCAGTAAGAAAATTTTGCAACTGTAATTTGGGACAAATGATACTAGCATCCAAAGGAATTCATATCATCGTAGGACAAACAGACCTGCACTTGTACACTGTCATCATCCATAGCTTTAATTAATGCCGGCACTACTTGCTGATGATAGTGTTCTTGAAAATGGGGACACATGAAACTCAAAAACTCGCGAACTGCTTCCATGGAGGTGAATCTGACTCCAGGATGAGGATGTCCCATACAATCCAGAACCATTGTCACCACTAGATTCATATTCTTAATCATCACCTATTATAATGAAGAAGAGATGAGAGCAAGCAAAGTACTTAGTCTAGAGAATAACAGAAGAAAGTATAATCAAGGTGACCTTCTGCTATCCCAAGATCGTTAACTAATCAGTTTAAATGCAATTCTTAGTAGTGTATCAATAAATACACACCTCTGAGCAGCCTTCAACAATCTGAGCAAGTGCATAGAGTGCTGCGCATGGCTTCTGCCACGAGTCGTCAGCCAAGTGAGCACGGAGCTGCTCAAAGGCAACAGGACCAACAGTCTTACCACCCAGCGCATTGGACAACCGCCGTAAACACATCTTAAGAAAAACGAAATCATCATTTCTATCCCATATATCATAAGGATCAGGCAAGAGAGGGTCATAAACCTCATCCTCTAACAAATTCAATAAAATTGCAAAATATTTTTCAGTAAACAATGGATACTTCTTGATCATGCCAGGGGTCTTCTCCCTGGCCTCAACCAAAGTCATCACGAATTCAACCGCCAAATGTCTCGTTTTCTTTTCATAACTCTCACATTCAGCTATATCAAACATGGAGCCCACCACAACCACAAGCTGCATCCTGAAGAAGCTAGGCTCATTCTTGGCCAACTCGATCAAAATCTCGAACTCAGACTGCGCTGATGCCTCACATTTTTTATCCAATGCCTCATTCAGCAAGTCCATCATCGCAGGCAACAGATCCTGAAACCTCTCCCTATCTTTTGAACTCCCCACCCGTTGAATGAAGTTACTCATCGCCGTCAGGGCAGTGATCTTCACGTCTAGATTAACCAGGGAATCATTCAACGTGTTTAGGAACATAGGGTGTAATATATCAATGTAATGGACTATTGCTTCAGCGTCAATATGTTGGATTAATTCAACAAACAAGTTTAAATTCTCTGTCAAATGGGAATTAGTACTGAAACACCTATACAAGTTGGCTAGCTTAAGAGCTAATGAGTTAGGATCCATATTGCTAGTTCCGATAACAGATGATCGCTAACGCTCTATTTTTCTTACCAGACTATTTTTTTATACGACTGGTATACCTCATTCTGCTTTCTATACTAATAATATCATGAGTGAAATCAATGACAAGAATAATGTTTAACTTTGTCTTATTTGACTTTTCTTTGCCAATTAACTGATGTTTGACAAAGTGGTGAAATTGGTAGCAGCAAATGAGGACTTTCTTCCGTAAATCATGAGATATTTCAATGATCTAATTAGAGAGAGAAACGGCTGCTATGGAGTTGTGTAAGAAAAAATGAACATATATATAGAAAAACCATCTTTCCTACCATACGAAAAGGTAAATTTCGTAGACACTTCTCCAAGATCAATATTATATACTCCGTTGATTAAGGTAAGGTCAACTCTCCTTTCTATTTCCAAAATTCTGAAGTTGGCGAAAAGCAGGGCTGTGAACTAATTTTCTATATAGGCAGTTGGTATTTAGTAGTAATGAAAAGGTAATGTGGGATGTCAATGATCTAATATGATACCGAGTCGTGACCTTAGAGCTATTTCTGACTAACTTGTTAAATGCAATAATGTATATATTTATTTTAATTTGATGAGGTTTAATCATGTAATTAGTCGTATCTCACTAATATTACCTTATAAACGATATTTGTTGTGTATTTTCTTGTCAAACTAGATGTGTTTTGCACATGTATTCCATGTTAAACTGTTTAGATGTCATATGAACATGTGAAGAAAACAACAAAATTTTATTTTTTAGAACTATTTTTGTATATTAATTTTTATTTTATAAGTTATAGCATAATAGCTGACGTTCTTGTTGTTGGTTCTCATATTTGACTTCTCGATTGATTGTGTACATAAATCAAAGATAGTTATCTGACTGTCCATAGTTAACTGAGAAAAGTTTCCTTTTTTTTACCGGTAAAACTAAAAATTAAAATTAAAGAATATATTCTATCTGTGAAATCATATATATAATCACATGTTTATCTTACACCCAACAAAGATATAGTTCATATACTTGTAAACGATTTTCAATTTATTCAACTAAGCATAATTCATCCAAGGAAAAATAACACCGTGTTATCACATATATAGGGGTTGTATAATAATATAAAAAATTATTGGTCAACAGTTAATATAAGGAAAGATGAAAGATAGAAATAATTAATGTAATAACTATGAGAATTCACAATACTATAACTAAAGAATGTAAAAGAGTGTGAATAACGTTTGCAATAATTGGTAATAACGAAGAGAATTTATAATGTTATAACTAAAGAATTAATGTGCAATAGCTGAATTTCTAATAGATTATATACTTACATAAATAAATAGGATTTTAATTAATGTTACTATTTTTTTATAGTTATTAGATTTTAATTTAGTGTAGGGAAAAATGAAAATGTTTATTCCATATTACTGAATAAAAAATGTACTTTGTAAATGATAAATTTTAAATGATTCATATATGTTCACATATTTTCACATTTGTTGTGAGTTTTTTTTTTTAAAAAAAGAACTCGGAACATTTTAAAATAATATATATTGAAGTTAGAAGATTTTGTTAACTTGATAATACATTTGTGAGTCGTGACATATATAATACATTAATTTAAATACAAATATCTACCCAAATATATATATATATATATATTTAGAGAGAGAGAGAGAGATTTGCATTAATAAAAATATTTATAGCATAAAAATTAGCTATTAAATAAATAATAAGTATTAAACTAATACAAACTTACAACTAGCGTTATTACAAGTCATATGAACCTTTCTTCGTCTAAAATACTGAAAATATTAAGAAATAGTAAATAAGAAAAACAAAAAGACAATATTTATATAGTAATAACTATTTTGAAGCAAACTTCCTGACAATCAAAATCACATAAGTAGCATTGATATATGAAGTCATTATTTTGTCCTGAGCATCAAAAAAACAAATCGTGACAATTCGCTAGGAAATATTGAAGGTTGACCCTAGTATCAGTACAATTTCACTTGCTTGGATTAACAAAGGGTAACTAGTTTAGGCAAAAGTAAGTAGTAGACAATCAGAACTCTTTGGAACCAGTTCTTTTTCTGTTATTGTTTTTCCTGGTGACTTTTTTCCCCATTCCCCTAGTTGTGTAGAGTTAAGAGTATGCATTGTGACTTTCAGATATAACTTCACATTTTCCAGAAAACATTTAGTGCAACCAAACAGTTTTTGTTATTTGTGATCACACACATCTTTTTCTTAAATATTATCTGTTTGTTAGTTACAATCAAGCATAATGTTCTGATACAAGAGGAAGAGTGCAATCAACATATAAAGGAATTTTGTGTTAATTTCTTGTTTGTCCTAGAATGTGATTTGCTTTTAATCTCTTTGCTTGCAGAGCTGTCGACATATATCCACTCTGAGGAAATTCTGCTGGAAAACAAATGTCTGAAATAGAGAGGAGATTTCTTGGTACTTTTTTGTTTTGGGCAACTCAAAAAGGAAGGATTAAGGAGGGGAGATTGCGCGGACATGGAATGCAAGTCGGTGACACTGTCTCGGGACCAAGGGCAGACTTATCTTCTGCTGAAGTCAAAGAAGGTTATGAGTTTCTCCTTTCATTGGTTCCAGGGAGGTGGCCTTTACCAAATTTATGCAGCCCAGTGTTTCAGAAATTCATTGAGCACATCCTTCAGAATGTGAAGGATCTTCTCATCAACAAGAAAGATTTCGACAAGTTTGTACTTCTGAAGAAAGAGTTTCAAGTCCTTGAAGAAAGTCTAAAATATCTAAAAACCTTCCTCAATTTCATAAAAGATGCAAGCATGGAGCTAGAGAAATCCAACATTCTTTTTAATCATATAGAGGGCATCACAGTGAATGCTGCATACATATGTTACCTTTGTTATGTGGAAGAAATGGATGGAGATTCAGCATCTGTGTTGACACTACAAATCTCTCATGTTTTGAAAGATATCAAGCCCATTGATCCGGACGTTGCAGAAATCTATACTGGAGCTCTAAGAGGTTCAGTTAAATTGCAAATCCAATACAGCCGGGATGTGATAGAATTTGTTGAAGGTTTTGTTCATTTCATCTTCAAGGATTTGTTGGAGTTATCAGACGGTGAGGCATGTTCTTTGATGCTTCCTCTTAAAAAGGATCAAATCAAAAGCCTTGCCGAAGCATCAAAGCAATTGATAACTTTGCTCATTTCTCCACCTGAAGATTTATATGTTATCCAGGAAAAAATGAGTGACAAACTTACTTGCATTGAAGGTCTGATTGCTGAGGTAGTATCTGCTGCTTTCTCTTTCTCCGTTGACAAAGCAGCAGAAGTTAACTCGGTATTCAGTGACTTGTTAAAAAAGATTGAGCATGTCATGGAAGATCTAAAAGATGTGATTTTGAAAGATGTAGTGTCATCAAAATGTAATTTTCCTAGGACAAATGGATTGGGGTTCATCGATTCCCTCTTACGCTATCTAAAAGAGCTGCTGCAAGACGGAAAGTGTGATTCTGTTGTCAAGCATCATATTGAAGAAGCTCGGGAAGAGTTATATCTCTTAAGATACTTCTTGAAGGAAGTTGAGAAGAAAAAACATGAGTTTGAGGAGGTGAAGAAACATGATCTATGGACAGAAGTCATATCTCTAGCATACCAGGCAGAATGCATAATTGATTGCCTGGTTACCGGAGATTATCCTGTTTGGTATCTACATTTGTTATGTAAGATCACAACAGAAACTAAGGTTGTAAGGGATCATTTGAAAGAGTTCCATGCTACGATTACGCAAGAAGTTGAAGGCCCTATTGAAGAACAAACACCAAATCCTGTCAGACAAGTAGTTGAGACTACACAACTTGATGAGGTAATGGTGGGTTTTAAGGATGAGACTGACTTGCTAATCGAACAGCTCACTATAGGACCAAAGAACTTGGATGTTGTGTCTATCGTAGGGATGCCTGGTCTTGGAAAAACTACACTAGCAAAGAAAGTTTTTCATGATGAGAAAATGC